GGTTGATGAGGATTTACGAGGCAAAAATGGTGGAGGAGGGCGCGCGAATAAGGAAGAGGGCGAGGAAACGAGAACTAATGGGATACTCGATACTCGAAAAGTCGGATAATATCGCGGATATTCCGTGCATTAATAACGCGTTACGTTACGGTAATTTGCCATTTGCGATCTCTGTGTACGTATAGGTGTAAATTGCGTCGACCGTGTCGTACCCCGTTACGTTACCCGAATTTGCATCTCTCGAAAACTAGAGAGAGATCCGTTGTTCCCGATACCAATTCGATACTCGATACAGAATTTTTCCCCGTTGAACTGCACAATACGGAGGAAACGAGCGGGGATTATCATCGAGTCGTGGATCGAGCCGTGATTTGCATACGGCCGCGAGGAAATGGCGGAGAGGAAGATCGTCGAGAAAACGTTTTCCCCGACACACTCACGCTACAGATATTGGATATCAACTGGGCTGTGTCTGTGACCGAGTTACACGTGAATCGATAACCGGGGACAGACGATAATATGTATATTAGGTAATTTCGTACGCGTTCACACGAACCTGTGTCGTGTATCCGTTGCGATACTCGATGTGCAACGATCTTGTGATTTTTTTTTAATTTACTTATCAACAACGTGTATCGATATATTAAGATTCAAGAAAAAGAACAGAAGAAGTTGGTCGAATTCATTCGATCGGAAAATTTGTTTTTTTACAGTTTTACAGACTCGTTCTATCGAGTCTCCCTCGTAATATCGAATGGTATCGCGCTTATATACGCGTATATAAAGGAATATCAGACTGCTCGACGATATAATCCTTCTTCGTACGTTGGTTGCATCTCTTTCATAGATTTTCACCGGAATTCCCGGAGGAGTCCAAGCTTGATAACTCCGATACGCCCGCCACGGTAAATTTTCCACGATCTTTCATCAAGGATATCCCTTCCCATCCTGGATTTTCAATATTCGAGGAATCTTTTCGAAAATGGGAACCGAATGCATTCGTCGTCCATTGTCGATTCGTAGCGAAACGAAACGTAGGCATACAAGACGTCGTGATCGAATCGAGCTTTGACTCGGAGGAATATCGATAGTAATATCGACCGTTACTATCGACGCAACAACGAGGAGGAATCCCGGTTGTACGAAGCCGTTCTTCTATGAAATAATGGAGAATCTCGAGAAGCTAACGGTTTACGTATACGTGGCGTATCGATTTTCGCCGAGTTGTCGGTCAAAATTTCAACGACACCGAGGCAATTTCTTTCTTTCGACTCGACTATTTTCAACGTATTTCCTCCTCCGGATATAAAATTATTTATACCTTTTCCTCTCTTTCCACGCATCACGTCCATTAACACATCCATTATTCTTCAAACTCAACACGACTGTTAATCAAAACGTGCGAGCAAACAAACTCTTGCGACCGACAACAACAAGCAACGTTTCATCCTTTCGAGAATAATTTCTCGACGAGCGACGTTTTCATCGCGAAAAGAAGGTAAAAATAAAAATAAAAGTAAAAAAAAACTTGCACGGTGGAAAGTAAGGAGAAAGTATGGTAAAGCACAGGAGCTCGTTAAATATTTATAAAATGGTGGCTGGTTATAAGTAAAACGACATATCGGGTAGCTCCGGTTCCGCGAGCCGTGTAGCTGGTGGCTCTCGCGCGTAAAGTCATCATTTCCATTTAATGCCCCCATGAATATCGTCGTCGTGGCCACGGAGGGAAGAAGAAGACGGCTTCTGCGCTAGGAACTCCAGCTCTAACTTTTCCAGAGGAGGGAGAGGGGATGTAGATCACGCGCGTATACGCCGGCCGTGCATCGCGGTGAGATGGGCGTAAATCGGCGTTTAGTCGGCGAGATCGATGGAATCCTCGTAGAGGATAAACGAGGATCCATCGTGACCATTCCCCTCCGAGAAACTTGAATTTTCGACGATGGTGAGATTCAATGGGAAGTATAAATACGAATGATCGACGATGATCTCGACTGTACACGAAAGGAACGTTACATCGTCTCTCGAAGTAACAAATCGAGATGA